AGCCAAAGCCAACCCACCGCTGTCTGAACTGGTGTGATTTATAGCCACCCTTTATTGAGTTTTAGAGACTGAAACTTTATTTAGTCTCAGAGAGAGGAGATTGCCCATTTTTCTCTTCCCGAGTACGTGGTAGATTTGAATTCCAAACCTTTTGATTAGCACTGTGGCAATGAGGCTCCTTCTTTACAGTTTAAGTGCTCACTGTTGTCAAATTGTTTCCAACTAATAGGGGCGCTCTGTCAGGTTTCCAAAGCTACACCCCTTTAATTTTCCCCTTGGGAGCTCTTGGGGGATTCTGATCCCTGAGGGAGCAGTCGTTGAAGAAGGACGTCCTTAGTGAAATAGAGGGTCAGAGGAAATGAGGAGCACCCTCACCAAGGCGGCTGACGCGCGACTTGAGCATGGCCTGTGCATGGTGGTATTTATGAGCAGGCTGCAGTTCCAGATGGTGGTTCGTCTTGTTGTCTGTACGGCTGCTGTGCATCAGAACCGATGCTTCCTGCTTGGTCATTCAGGTCCTTTGGGGGAAGAAGAAACTTTAGAACGTAAAGATACTAAAGTGAAGGGAAGAAAGGAAGAGAGTTGGACAGAAGATTTCAAAGAGTGGCGTTGTTTTGCTTTGATAGGGTTGCTATGCTTTGGAAATGATGCCACAGCACCTAACAAGAGCAAATGCTAGCTTTTACTTAATAATCTCAGCTCGAAGGCCTTCCAGCCTCGGCAAGGAAGGGACATTCCTCCGTAACGGTGGTTGAGTGTGTTCGCTGGCCTCTGTGCACCTGACTTGGGCACCTTGTCTTCTGCCCCTCGCTCCCTACCATCCTTCTCCAATGAATTCATTTATGTGCTGCAGAAGTGCAATGAGTGGTACAATGAGTGATTAACTGGTCGACTCCTGATTCAAAGGTTGGAGGTTCAAACTGCCCAACTGCTCTGCAGGAGAATGGCGTGACAATCTGTTCCATAAAGCTTTAGAGCTTTGGAAGCCCAGTTCTGCTCTTCCCTATAGGGCTAAAATGTTGTTTTTGTTAGGTGCCGTTGAGTTAACTGACTCAACAGCGATTCTGGGAACAACAGATCAAAGCCTTGCTCCATTCTGCACCATCATCCTGATCTCTGTCATGCTCAAGGCCATTGTTGCAGTCACTGCAGCAATCCATCTCACTGATGGTCTCTCTCTCTTGCTGACCCTCTGCTTTCCCCAGCACAACGTCTTTTTCTGAGGACTGACCTCTCCTGACAACATTCTCAAAGTGTGGGAGCTCAAGTGTCACTCTCCTCACCTCCAAGGAGCAATACTGATAACACTTCCTACATAACGAATGTATGTGTCCTCAGTCACAAAAGGACAAATATTTCATAGGGCCACTGTTGTAAAATGGGACTGACATCGAAGTTGCTGGAAGACAGAAAAGGAGGGGAGGAATGATGTATATTGCACTGAAACAGATGAGGGAGAGAACTGTTTAAAAGGGACATATGAGTGGGTATTCTTGTCATTATAGAAGTCCAGAGTGATTGCGTAACAGTGAGTTTTTCTTTTCAAGAAGAGTTGGAGGGGCGGGGGTAGGCAGGGAGGAAAATGCAACAATGAATGAATGACTGGAAACCCTAAGTCTAGTAAACTTTCATTAAAGTTAATAAAAAGAATTTAAAAAGAAAGTATGTGCCTTTTTGGCAGTCTATGAGGTAGGCAGTACTATTTACCCACACAATTCACGGTCACCGGTCTTGTTTTGGTCTTCCTTATCCCTGGTACCATCTTTCAGAGTCATCTAGATTGCAGTGACTCTTGTCTTGATTTGGTTTTGTGCCTTACATGCCTCATTGTCCTCTGCAGCAGATGCCTCTGTCTGTGGTGGGCACTAGGGAAGGCATCACACTGCAAACAAAGCCAGATGCTTTGCATTTTAGAGTCGGGTGCACCAGGTTCAAATCCTAGCCCTCCCCCTTTCCATGTAATGACTGGAACAAATTCGTTCCTGTCTGTGGGTCTTAGTTTTACTCATCGGACAGAGAGGACTCGAAGGCCTGCCATCCTGCACAGGTGTGCTGTGCAAATGATACATATCACCTGCAGGTGTCTGCTCCCCACTTCTTCCCAGACTGACCTCACCCCAGATCCCCATGTTGTGGTCCAGATGGTCAGTTGCCAAGCTGTACCCAAGTCTCTGTTGGGCTCATTTGGTATGCTGCCACTTTGTTTTGGAAGAAAAAGCAGGTCATAGACCTGGGGCCCTGAAGAGACAGATCCTGTCACCGCAGACTGCCAGATGGGTGCCCCTCTTATCCTGCCCTGGGAGTTTCAGGAGATCCCATTACAGAGTATCTTTCATGTGACAGATGCCTGTGGGTCCCTGAGCACAGTGCTGTGGTCCTGTTAACAGGCTGCTGACACAGATGTCTGCCTTTCCTGCGAAGGATAACTCTGCTGAGGTGGACTCAAACCTCTGACCTTTCAGTTAGCCAGCACCACACATCGGAGTTTTTATCTTCTTTTTACCTGTGGAAACTCTGACGCTCAGATGTGTTAAATAACTTGTCCATGATGATACAACTGAAAAAGAGCAGAGTAGGAATTTCGTCTATTTAACTTAAGAATCCATGCCAACCTCTCACCAGTGAAGGACAACAAATAACACGGGTGTAGGCTGATTTGAGGGAGCTCTGGTGGCTTACTGGTTAGGAACTGTGCTAAAATGCCAAAGGCATATGTTTCAAATCCACCAGCCGCTCCTCAGGAGAAGGATGGAATGTTTTCTCCTGTGTGATTAACGGCCTCTGAAAACCCACTGGAGGGTCGGCTATGGTTTGGATCAGGTTCAACACAACAACAACAACAACAAAGCTTATTTGAGGGGGAGAAAGGATGTGGAGATGTAATCCTTCTGCTTATCTCCTCGAGCAGGCTGCAAGGGATGTTCCAGCAAGAAGCCTGAGTGAATATGTCTGACCATACACCCTTTATGAAAAATGCAGCCCCTCAACTCTTAGCCCCCCCAAAGAGATGAAGTGTAAAACTATGTCATTAAAAGTATGGAAACAGCCCAAATGTCCAACTACAAAAGAATGGATTGAGAAATTATGGTACATTCATACAATGGAATACTATACAGCATGCAGGAGCAATAACTTTGTAAATTATTACCTAACTTGGGAGGGACTGGAGAGCATCACCCTGAGTGGACTAATACAGTCCCATAAGGATAAATATTGTATAAGACTGTTATTTTAGAATGAGTATAAGGATCCAGGAGGGGTGGGAGAGGCTAGGAGCAGAGGGATGTATGGGGGTGGGAGGATTAATCATTGGGTTGTACAATTTGATGGGTAAGGGGGTGAGAGAAATGGAAAGAATTTGTGCAAATTTGTATTCTAATTTTGTAAATAAACTAGTAGAAAAAAATTTAAAAATCTATAATGTATCTAAGTGACTGTATAAAACATGATGTATATAAATGATTATATGCAAACCAATAAAATTGTTTTTAAATGTAAAAAAAAAATCTATAAAGTTTGTAGAGTTTGCCCAACTCAGACAAGGTATCTTTCAGGAAAGGGTTTGCATCAGATCTTGCCAACTGGTAGCCTGAAGACAAAATCTGACAACAGAGCTGTTTTGTGGTGTTTTGTTCATGGTCTTTTAATAAACCTATGGGAACCAGAAGCTCAGTCTTACCAGTTTTCTATTGCACGTTTTAGTGGGAAATGGTGTGTTTTCCTTCTCTAACAGGTCCACCTTACCTGTGGTCCAGATTCCATAGGCTTTACTGTGATTGCCAACACTTTAAGCATCCGTATTGGAAGGTTGTTGGTTCAAACCCACTAAGTTATGTTCTGCTTTTGAAAGATCCACTCTTCACACGAGGGGTGGCCATAAGTTTGAATCTACTCAGTGACAACTTACAACATTGGAAAGTTCATGAGGTTCCCCTGAAACAGTGGATGTTTGCATTCTCTTGAAATTCCTGTATTTCTTTAATACTGCTGGACACTCAAGTTCCAGCAACTGAATTCCTTCATACCACCAACACCCCCCCCCACACACACACACACCTGTGGCTGCCTTGGGCTGCTGGCGAGCAAGAGCTGCTCCCATTGCTGGGAAGATGCCCCTCAGTTTGCTGCAGCCCCCACCGCTCCCTGCTACCCCGTGCCGAGACCAGTCTCCACAAAGCATCATCTTCCACCCACTAGGTTTTGGGTGGTTATTTTTTCATGTCAGAGATAACAGAAGTGCTGTTATGTTTTAAAAATGGGGGTAAACAAGAAAGCCAGAAGGGAAAGTAGATGTCTTTGTAGAAATAAAACTTCTTTCTCTGTATGTTTTGTCCACATTGTTTTCTTCTCTCAGTGCTGCTTTTGGGCACCCAGAGAAACCGTGCAGAAGGTACAGAGAGTTCTCATACACCCTCCCTCCTGCCCACAGCTGCTCCCACTGTGAACATCCAGGGCACATTGTTGCAATTGGTGCAGCCAAGGTTGATACATTCCTCTGAGCTGAAATCCATAGTAGACATGAGGCTTCTCTTTGTGAGGTGTGTACAGTCTTGGGAGACTGTCTTGACAAATGCATAATGTCTCGGAGTCCACTGCCCTGCACTCCATTTGTCCATCCCTCCTTTGTCGTCCTGGTCTTTTGGGCAACAAATGCTCTTTTTAGCAACAATTGCTCTTTTTCCTGTCTCAATTGTTTTGCCATTTCTCCCTAGACTGTTATTTCTGCTTGTATAATTGCAGAGTACATCCCACCAAAAAGATACAACCAAAGGCATAAACCTGGCCCTCTGCCCTGGCTTTTGCTTCCCTGTGATCTTTACTGACATGGTGATTTAACCCCTTTTAACCATTGTTTCGGGCAGTCTCTGCTGCAGCTGCCCAAGGAGGGGGTGGGCTCACAGTGCGACAGGCCCATAGCTGGGACCTCTTGGCGCTCTGACGTCCACTGAAATGCCACCATCCTCATCTTACTCCTTTTTTTAAAAATTTTCCATTTCTAGGTGTGCCTTTCCCCAAGAACTTCCTTCAAATCTGCAAGAAGATTCTGTGCCGCCTTTTCCGGGTCTTTGTCCACGTCTACATCCATCATTTCGACCGGGTCATTGTGATGGGCGCTGAGGCCCACGTCAACACATGCTACAAACACTTCTATTACTTCGTCACAGAGATGAACCTCATAGACCGCAAGGAGCTGGAGCCCTTGGTGAGTGTTGTGGTCGGCTGTGGTCCCTGAGTCACCCCGTGGGCTTGGGCCATTTGTCACTGAGTACTGCCAGGCCCCTCAACGATGTCCACTGAAGGTTAGCTGTGGGCTGGAGGGTTGGGCAGGGCTGAGGGGAGAACTGAAGGCCAGGAGATGCTGCCGTGCCCACTACCACCCAGAATGTGGCCAAGATGCCTCTCTAAGACTACGCAGGATACAATGCAAGCCTCGTGGGCTGGACCTTTCACTCCCTGCTCTAAAACTAGTCACCTGTTTATTGAATCTCTTCATGGTTATCTTTTGTCTCTCTTGCTGCTAATCAGAGGTGACCAGAGCATTTCTTCAGTCTGTAAGTGAGTATTTCACACCTAGTGTAGGCCAGCCACCAGCACACAGTTGCCTTCCACTGCCTCTGAGTAGCTTTCACTCTGTCAGTTATCACTTGGCATTCAGTCAGCTCCAACTCACAGTGGCCCAATCGGTGTCCAGGAGAAACTGTCCTCCCCAGACTTTTCAGAAGTCGATCTCCGAGCCTTTTGACTCAAGCCCCTCTGGGCAAGCTCACACCTCCAGACCTTGGCAGTCAAGTGCATTAATCCTTTTCACATCCAAGTACCCTTCCCCACAGAGAGGGGCAAAGAGAACAGGACTGCTTTTCACACTGAACCACCTGCTATGTGGTTTTAACACAGCTTGTTAGAATCCAGGGAGTCATATAGCACAGTGATTATAAGCACTTGGCTGCCAACCAGAAGGTCAGCAGTTCAAACTCACCAGCTGCTTTGTGGAAGAAATATGCACCAGTCTCCTTCCATAAAGACTTACAGCTGTGGCTACCTGGGAGGTAATTCTGCTCTGACCTGTAGGATTGATCTGAGTGGGAGCTGATTGAACAGCACTAGGTTTTTGTTTCTTAGAATCCAGAAGGTCTATTCTGAAACATGAATATTATTATTTGGATGAATAGGTCTCCTTTGTAGTCTCTTGATAGGCTACTGTTAGAGTTGCACTCACTCTGTGCTTTAGAAACCAAGAACCCTTAAAAACCCCAGCAGCCTTTGTAACATGTGGTGCCTTAACATAGATGCCCTTGACACAGCTATTTCTAGTTGGCTCGTTGTTAGTTGTTTTTTTTCCCCCAGTAGAGTACATTTCTTTATAATACAGTAAGTTACTTTCTTGAAACAGTTTAAGTAAGTGGCATTTGTGGCAAGTATTATGCAAAGGGCAATTCCGTGTCAGGCCAGGCCATTTGATTAAGGACTGAAGTGCCGGGAGAGCCTGCCCTCTTTAGCTCCCCTGTCCCGCTTTCCCTTATGGACAGTGCTCTTACCTTTCACAGAAGATGTTGGCAGATGGTATGTGTCACCTCAAGAACTTCTCAACTTGAAATATATCAGCATACCTGGAGGGGGAGTTCAAGGCAAAAAGAGTTTCCTCTGCATCACTCGGGCATTCTAGAACAAAGCAAGCGTTTTTAAGGAGCACTTGCATGAAGACAGGAGCTGCTTCTCTTCGCTTCCCCGTCCACAGTAGCTTCTAGAAAGCTCTTTGAGGACAGAAATGGGGCCAGCACTGAACTCAGCCAGGCACCCAGAGTAGAAAGAAAGTAAAAATCAGTGGTTGGATTCTGTTGCTAAGTTCTTCTCAAAAGTTGTTGTGAGTGAACATTAATTCCAAGATCTACAGGGAGAAAAGATTGTAAATACAGCTGTTAAATAGGTAGTTTAAAGGACTAGAATGCCTTATAGAAAATGTGCAAGACAGAAGAGTGGACCGAGGCCACATAAGTGTAGATGGTGGAGAAACCCCTGCTGATCTCCTAGAACTTGCTTCTTCTTCTGGAGCATCTAGGTCATTTCTCTTCAGTGGTGAGCTAGGGAAATTGTCCTCCTTAAAGGTACTGTACGTGAGTGGGTCACTGAGATGGGGTCCACTCAAGGGCGCCTGCCAGCAGACAATGGAAGGAAGAGACTCGAAGCCTTCCTGCTTTGGGCTTGCTTGAGCTAAAAGAGCAGAAACCTCTGGCTGAATGTCAGTCTTTTATGAGTAAACACATAAAGGCCAGTGTAGGATAAAGTTGAACATAAACCAGCAAGTAGAGAAAGCCTTTCTTTGTCCATCAAAGTGTTCTCATTTCATTTCTAGGATAGAAGATTCTAACACCTGGCCGTGCCAAGAGCAGACTTAAATAGAAAAGCGACACCCCACCCTACCCCACCCCCGCCTCCTATCTCAGTCAGTAGTTTAGAAAAGATCCTGGGAGATAAACCAACATTAAATTAACAAACCAACTAATTGTTGTTGACTGTTGCTGGGTTTACAGAGGCTGTAAGTCACACAGGACAAGATCACCCATCTTTCTCCCAATAAGCCACTGGCGAGTTCAGAATGCCAGAGAGGCGCCACCTATGCCTGGCAGCACAGCCCCTCTGGCGATGCCACCAGAGCTCTTGGCCTGATGAGGAGTGGGCGTGAACAAGAAGGGTGCCAGTTTCCCCCCTTTTTATAAGCTTATCTTTCTTTCAGTCCTTTTTTGAAATCTCATCCTTCCTGTATTTCTCTTTTGTTAACTGTAATTAGAAGGAAATTAACCTTTTAAAATATTAATGGGAATTCTTATTCTTTGAAAGTGCTTAATTGTCTGAAAGTATTATTCGCTTTATTAATCACAACCTAGAAAGTAGCAGCAGCAGGTCAGCAGGTTTAGAACGTTTTTGAGGACAGCAGTTAAATAATGCCAGGCAGATCCCTCCGCCCACTGTGAATGCTGTGTCACTGAAATGAGAGCTTTTATTTCAATAAGTGATAAAGTAATGGGCTCTTAAGCTTGTGTTCCAAATGCACTTCTTAAAATCAGGCCCAGCATATCAAATGAATACATTTTAAATTTGCTTCTAATAAGTACTTTCTAGATGCAAAGGGAAGTTCTGGTGACATGTTATTGTTGCTGTGTGTTGTTGAGTCGGATTCAACCCGTAGCTGACCTGCCAGCAGGTTTTCAGAAACAGTAAATTGCACGGTAGTTGATTGTCTGTCTTTGTCCCATGGAGCAGCTGGTGGATTCAAACCACAAGCATTTGTGTTGACAGGGCAATTCCTTACCACTGCGCCACCAGAGCTCCCCTTCTGGTGGCCTAGTATATACCAAATTACACTGCTTACCCAAACCCCTCCAGTCTCTGATGGTGTGAACCCACCTGTGATTCTGAGAGGGAGAAAGAGGAGCAGTCTCCTCCTGTTGGAATTTACAGCCTCAGAAACGTGGTGAAGAGTCACTGGGAGTCACAAGTGATTGATGTCAGTGAGTTTGATGCAAAGCAAGCTGTTTCAGGGTTCTGAGTGGGTACAAAATAGATGCTCTAAAAAATTTATGATACAATGGAAAAATATAAAATAATGTTCCCCATCCATGACCCTGGAAGAACGATGAAGAAGTCAGGCATTTAAGCTGCACATTCTGGTTGTGCGTTCTTTAGAATCTTATCATAAGTAGGAGTCAGAAGGGCAACATCTGCCCTGCCAGTTTCCTTTGGAATACCAGTATTCCCAGAGTTTCCACATCTCCAGTGAGACAGTCCAATCTCCTGACTTGGAATTCCAGCATGTACAACTCAGAGACTCACTCGTATTCCTCTCAGCTGTGCTTCTGTTCACAGCCACATGCCTGTTCCCAGGGCCTGGTGTTGACTGAGGACCCAGTGCCCGACGAGGGTGGGCAATTGAGTGTCACAGACAGGGCTCAGACTCATTGACTTCAGTGAGACCTTCCTTTACTGACATGCAGCTGTGGGAAAGATAGCATGGCTTCTCAAAACCCCATCTTTCTTACCGGTAGCATAGATAAGATAATGAAAATGTCATAAAAACTAAACAAGGAGTCAGTGGTATGTGCTTTAGGAAATGTCTGCTTGAATGAAACAATAGATGGTAAGCAGCTGGCAAACAGTAGGCAGAGGTCCCCTAACTCCTCCTTCCTTCACTACCTTGACCCCTTGGCATCATCCTGGGCAAAGTCATAGCCTGTGTAATAAATTGTATTCATTTCAGACTCTCCCATGGCGTTGTAAATTCTTTTAGAGCCAGGAGTATACAGGATAGAAATGCATGTAATAAATGCTGATATACTTTTTGTTTGTGGTTATGAGGTTTATTAGAGAAGTTAACAGGCAGCAGGATACAATCACAGAGTGCAGCTTCTCTACCGTGGTCGCAGGTCCTGTTGATCTTCAGTCAGCATCGCAAAGTTCCCTTAGTTCTGCCAGTGGCATGTTTTCCCTCAGTTCTTCAGCAAGCGTGAAGGAAGGCCTCTGGCTTTGTGCAGTAGCCCTCTGTTTCAAGCTGGTCTTCAGTTCTCTGCTAAGCCTGCCATTGCTCTCCTGGAGATCCTGGTCTAGTCTGGCATGTAGGAATCTCTGTCCCTGAAGGATGCCTGCTGCTTCCTGTTCTTTGTTGGCAGTGAGATTCTCAATTTCTGCCGTTGAACCACTTGTTTTAAATGAAATGGAATGGCGAGACCAATCCCCTTGTGGGTAAACCGACACATCCTATTTGCCCGTTCCCACACATCTATGTGAAAAAAAGAAATCAATGACGAAGAAATCCATTTCAAACAATAAATCCTTGGCACTATACAAACCATTGCCAAATCCTTGTGACTTTAAATCTTGAATATCTCTGAAATTGTTCCACATCTCTCTCCATCATCCCAGCCATCATTCTACTTCAGTATGTCACTTCTTTCCCCAGATGACTGAAATAGCTCCTTCCCCCCACCTTTTTCCTTAGCTATAATCCTCTTTGGTTACTTATAGCAGTGGTTCATAGTTTGGTTGTTTGTTATGGTGTTGTGGATTTTTTTTTATTGGTTTACTTACAAAGTTTGTATACATTGTATTTCACACTATTCTTCATTCACATTATATTTCATATAATCATTTACATGCATTATGTTTTATAAAATTAATCATCATTGAACAAAACTATGGAACACTTCACAAATTTGTGTGTCATCCTTGTACAGGGCCCATGCTAATTGTCTCTGTATCATTTTGATTTTAGTGTGTTCACTGTCGAAGCAAGCACAAAAGCTTAATATACTTTTACATAATATCATCTTTTGGTAAAGGTTCACATTTAATCTAGATTCCCATGCAACAGTTTCTACACACACACTGCTCACTGACATTGGTTCCTTCTTCACAGTCCCTGAAAGGTCTCCTTATTTCCATTCCAGTTGTTCTATTTCTGTTAATCGAGTTTCCCTGCCCCTTTACATTCTCATCTTTGTTTCTAAGTAATTGTTTATCATTTGATCTCCTATGGGTGATTTGTAAAGAGACTAAAACACTTACTGATGGCTAATGTTTCTTCTTTGGGAGGTCAATCTGATATTTAGCCACAAGATGACCTTAGAAGATTGCCTCAGGTCAAGTTTTGAAGAAGATCTCAGAGAAATAGTCTCAAGAGTGTCCTAATCTCAATCAGTCCAATAGATATTTTTTCTGTGTTACAAATTTAAGGTCTGTTCCACATTTTCCTCCTTTTCTATCATTATCTCTCTATTGTGGCCTTGATCAGAATTGCTGGTAGAGGTAGGTGGGCACCATCTAGTTTTTGACTTTGAGATGGTCATTTCTAAGGATGCTGCATCTCCATTCTAAGGGACTTTATACCAGTCATCTTCTCTGGAGATGCTTGAGACCTTTTCTTCTCCATTTCCTTGTTGGAAATAAAGCTTATCTTTTGGAATTTGCAATAGAAATTAAAAGCAAAAACAGCCTCAGGATAGTGTAGGATGCATCATAAACCACAGATCCCACAGAGAAAGGTTGGGGCCCTGATTCTAGTCAGTTCTCTGCTCCAGATTCCAGATTGCACAGAATTGTGTCCTGTGTAATAATAGGAGGCGTGGGCGACCAACCCTCCAATTATAGCAATGAAAGTCCAGTGACCGGGTAAAACCCTCAGCCCCAGGCAAACTGGGACAGTCTGTGTGCCTGCCAGGCCATGGAGAGGGAATCCAGTTTGGAATTCAGAAGCTGGCAAGAGGTCACCCTGGTCAGCAAGTCCACGCTCAGGTCTAGCGTTGCCCACTGCTGATCAGCTGTTGTGGCCTGAGAACCCAGCAAATATAGAGACCGTGCCCTGGGGCTCCAGCAGGGAGTGGGGAGCGGCAACCCTGTCACAGGCAGATGTGACAAATCATCCATTTAAATTTAATAGCTGAAAATGACCTGGACTTGAGCAAGTCCACAATTAGAAGAAAAGAGCCCAAATAATTAGACAGTGGGCCAGGCCTACGTGAAGAAGCAGGCGGCCGTGGGCCCTGGGCAGGCAGGATCAGCTGACAGAGCTAGGCAGAAGCGTCATTAGTAAGTGGTAGCAATGAGTAACAGTGTCATACCAGCCTTCCACAAGGCACACCTGCAGAGGGCCGTGAGCTTTGCTGTAGGTGGAATAAAGAGGTGGACAGGAGCTGGGGGCTCACAGGAGGCAGGGCTTCACTTGTTCAGCCCAAGGCACCTGCTTTTCTTCTGAGCAACCTTCATCCCGGTTCTTTACCTCCTTTCTGTCTCCAAGGCTCTGGTTCCTGATTCCTAACAGAGAAGGCAGTCCAAGACATCATTTGGAAGGCAGAGGTGCTGCTGTGAAAACAGATGTCACCAGAAGGTTATTCTGCTACCTTGCAGCAGGGTTCTTAGACTATTTAAAACAAACAAAAAAATCCAACCAATAAAACCCCACTTGCTATCAAATCAGTTTCAACTCCTCGTGAACCTCGAGTGTGACAAACTAGATTTTTCAGTGGTTGATTTTTCTGAAGGGCATTGTCAGCCCTTTTGTTTGAGGCCCCGATGGGTGGACCTGAACCTTCAACCTTTTGGTTAGCAGCCCAGTGTGTTAGCCATTTGTATTATCTAAGGATTCATTGGTGCTGTTGTTGTTATGTGCTATTAATGTCAAGCTAGTCATCAGTCTAGACAGTGTCAATCTGGAGACTAAGGTGCGCCTGATCCAAGCCATAGCTTCATGATTACTTGCTCTGCATCAGAAAGCTGGACAATGACTAAGGACGACAGCAGAAGAATCAATACCTTTGAGCTGTGGTGCTGGAGAGGAGTATTGAACATAAGATAGACTACCAAGAGAACAAACATGTCTGTGCTGGAGAGGGTGAAACCAGGTTGCTCCTTGAAAGCAAAGATTTTGAAGCTCCATCTCACATACTTTGGGCAGATGGCCAGGAGGGGGACCAGTCCTTGGAGAAGGACATCATGGTTGAATGGTAGAGGGGAAAGTGCAGGAAATGCAGACCCCAGATGGGTTGACACAGTGACTGTGACAATGGGGGCAGATGTATCGGAGATGGTGAGGTTGGCTCATGATAGGGCAGGGTTCAAAGTCATTGTTCATAGGGTCGTTCTGAGTCGTAGTTGACTGGACAGTATGAACTGTAGGCGCTCTCTGATGAAGGTAGTGTTTCTCAGTGGGCGTCCGCACAACCTCAGGAGACTCTAGTTCTAGAGGTGCTAGTTTTAGATGGCATCCCTGGCCTTCCCCCAGATACACTGGATCAAAATCCCAGAGATTAGTCTCTCAAACCAGGTACCTTTAGATTCTCATGTGTATGTGAATACATTAGAGCTATAGTAGAATATGAGATTTTACATTGTGCTCTCAGATGTTTTCAGTGTTGCCGGTTCCAGGGCCATACTTTGAATGTCAAAACCCTAGGTTACAGTTACCCTAGATGAGATTTAAGAAGCAATAATGACATAGTACTCAATGTGTCAGGCCACCAGCCAAAATATCAGTTGTTCAGATCTACTGGGTTCTCCACAAGGAGATGGCCAGCCTGCTCTTATGAAGATCTGAAGCCTCACAAACCAGATAGAGGGTCACTTGGCTTGATGTCCATGGATTTGGCTTTGGAGGAGAATTACAGTTTTTCACGTATCATCTCTTCTAGGACTGAAGGTTAGCTTAGTGATGTGGGAAAGTAACGCGGAAGGGATTTCCCAGAGGTTCTCCATACAGGGCTGGTCCTGTGTGATGGGTGGTGGAAACAGACTTCCTTCCTTGCTTAGATGAGTTAGAAAATGCCGCACCATCTCCACCACCAAAGGTTCGAAATAAACAGTATCAGCTAAAGGCCTTGCAAAATCATCCACTAAATAAACATAAAGAAATCAGTTGCCCCATGTTGTGTACCTGTCTTAACTCAGGAGAGAGCTGGGAATTCACCTCATGTAAAGATTCATTGCCTTGGAAACTCAGGGGAGGTCACTGTAAGTCAGAATCTCCTGCAGCAGATTTGTTCGTCCCCAGTTTAACCACATTTGGCTCCTGAATGCTTTGTTGTTGTTATGACGCATCACATCCTGCAGAGATCATGATCCTTGGACCACACTCTGAACCACACTGCTGGCCTTTGTGATCTCGTCCCTGCCACGTGCTCCCCAACCAGATCGCCAGCTTACTGAATGACAAAGGGGAGAGGAGAGGAAGAGAGGGAGGTTGGAGGCGATTGAAACTGTTCATAGAAGATGGCTGCAGGGCTCAAACACAAAAAGCCTAGTCCTGTTCATCCCCCTTCCTCAACTCTCTCACCCACACTGGGCAGTTGTTGTTGTTGTTATGTGCTGTCAAGTCAACCATGACTCATAGTGACCCTATGTACAATAGCCCTGAACCCTTCCCTATTCTGACTC